TTCAGTCTGTGTATGTCTTTTCCTATCAGATGAGTCTCCTGTAGGCAGCATATTGTTGGATCTTTTTTTTTTAAAATCCTTTCTACTAGCCTATGTCTTTTGATTGGTGCATTTAAGCCATTAACATTTAGGGTTACTATTGAGATATGGTTTGTATTTCCAGCCATATTTGATTATGTATGTTGTTTAACATGATTTGTTTTTCCTCTATGCTTAGTTTTTCCTTTACTGTACTACCTCCCGCTGTTGGTTTTCATTGTTATTTTTCATTCCCTCTTCCTGTAGTGTTTTGCCAAGGATGTTTTGAAGAGCTGGTTTTCTTTAACTTTTGTTTATCGTGGAAGATTTTTATTTCATCTTCAATCCTGAAGCTTAATTTCGCTGGATACATGATTCTTGGTTGGAACCCTTTTTCTTTCAGCGTTTGAAATATGTTGTTCCAGGATCTTTTTAGCTTTCAGAGTCTGTTGAAAGATCAGCAGTTATCCTGATTGGTTTACCCCTAAATGTAATCTGCTTCCTCTTTCTTGTGGCTTTTAAGATTCTTTCCTTATTCTGTATGTTGGGCATTTTCATTATTATATGTCTTGGTGTGGATCTCTTATGATTTTGTACATTCGGTGTCCTGTAGGCTTCTAGTATTTGGATTTCTTTTTCATTCTTTAAGTCTGGGAAATTTTCTAGTATTATTTCATTGAATAGATTGCTCATTCCCTTGGTTTGGACCTCTATACCCTCTTGTGTCCCAATAACTCTTAGGTTTGGTTTCTTGATGTTATCCCATAATTCTTGGATGTTCTGCTCATGATTTCTTAACATTCTTGCTGAGCTGTCTATGTTCTTTTCAAGTTGAAAAACTTTGTCTTCATTGTCTAAAGTTCTGTCTTCTAAGTGTTCTACTCTGCTGGTAATACTCTCGTTTGAGTTTTTAATTTGGTTTATTGTTTCCTGCATTTCCAGGGTTTCTGTTTGTTTGTTTTTTATATCCTCTATCTCCCTATAGAGTTGATCTTTTGCTTCTTGGATTTGTTTATGTAATTAATTGCCAAAGTGATTTGTCATTGTCTGAATTTGCTGTATAATGTCTTCCTTGAGACTCCAGATCATCTGAAGCATGTATTTTCTGAACTCTTTGTCTGACATTCCATCAGCTGCAGATATTACCTCATCTATTGTTGAATTGACCTGTATTGTTTGTGGTCCTTTCTTTCCTTGTCTTTTCATACTGCTCATGATTCTTTATAGTTTTGTGAAACTGTTGTGTTAATGTTTTTTTCCCTTATATATTTGTATTGTTCTTGTATAGCTCCAAAATCCCTCTTTTGTGGAGAAAGACAATATTAACAGTTCCCAATATCAACAGCACATTATCTAAGCACAAATTTTCATTCTTAATATATTTATAGTTAGATTCTAAGTCTATAGATATTGGTTTTAATTATTACATAAGAATATATTCATTAGTTTCATAAAAGGTGTACCATATCTGGTGGCATATAGAAAACTTAATTTCAGACCAAGGATGTTATACTTAGAGGGAAAGGAGTGAGGGTATGAGGTTAAACTAACTTAGCACCTTTGGAGAATTCTAACTAATAGACTGGTAATTTATGGAAGAATTTATAGATTCAACCTCCTATCTGTATTTAGATAGTTACCCTATGTATAGATAGCAAAAGTTAAGAGATTGAAAGTGGGATAGAGAGAACACGAAAGAAAAAGAAGAAAAAAAAATAACAAGGAAGAAAAGAGAAATAAGAGAAGGAAAAGAAAAGATAGAAATAAAGAAAAAAAATGGGGGGAAGGTGGGCTATATGCATTTCCTCTATATTATATTACTTGGTAATTCGGTTGTTCATGCACAGTTCTTGGTTTCACATATGTTGAAGTTGTGGAAGAGAGAGAAGAGAGAAAGAAAGAGAAAAAAAAGTCTCTCAGAGCACTGTTTTCCTTGCTTCCAGTAGGTGGCGTTGTCTATTCCTAGCTTGAGCCTCTGTATTCAGGGTGGTGGGTATAGCCAGTGTGAAAGGAAATGAGCTTCCACCTGTATCTTCCCTACTCTAGTCTCTGATGTAGAAACCATTTGCTTGTACAGTTGTTGTTTTGCATTGATAGCTGCAACCCCCAAAAGCTTGTGGGAAATATTTTGAGTTATCGCAGCTAAGGGTGGGTAAGTTGGAAACCGGGTACCTGGATCAGCCGCAGAACGGTGCTGGAAGCCACACCCCCTTTGATGGGTTTTAAGGGTTGATGGGCTTCCTCCCGACTAGCACACGGGTGGGGGCCAGACTTCCTCCTCCCGGCTTGGCGCCTGGCATCTTCCTCCTCTGGTCTAGCTTGGCGCACGCCGGGAGTCTTTCTCCTCCCTATTTTTTAGTTTTTAGTTTTTGGTGGACACAACATCTTTGTTTGTATGTGATGCTGAGGCTCGAACCCGGGCCGCACGCATGCCAGGCGAGCGCGCTACCGCTTGAGCCACATCCCCAGCTCAAAATCCTTCTGTTTTAAAGTAGATACTCAAAAACATTAGATTTATTTTTTTTTCATACCGAAAAGGAAATGTGCCTTCTTCTCTTCTAAGAGTCTCATCAATGTAATTTGCAATGTTATCATAATTAATGAAGTTCCTAGGAGTGGTATTAGTTATTGTAGGTTGCTATCACTGCAGGCTATTAACAATGAGCATTATACTTTGTATCATTGGCTAAACTTATGAACATCTTTTTTTGTTTTTTTGTTATTTGGCTTCTAGGGTGGAGTTTTAGTAAAAATTACAGAAATGTGCCCTCCTTTGAACTGTTCAGAAAAGGATCACATTCTTCCAGAGAATCAGTGCTGCAGTGTCTGCAGAGGTAAGAGGGCTGTGCTTAGGTGGGGCTGGGGTGGCTGCTTGTGGGTTCAGTGAATAGTGCATTGGTAATAACATGGATCCTAACCTCTGTTCTGCTGCTTAGAAACTTGCACATCCTATTTACCTTTCTCAGTCATAGTCTCTTCAATTGCAAAATGAAGATAATAATAGTACCTACTTCATAAGACTGCTGTGAAGATTAAATGGGATAATGCATAAACACCCAGCATAGTACTCAGCATGTGATAAACGTTCGATAAACGATAGCTTGTATAATAATGCTAATGATAGTTCCTGTAATAATAACCATTATCATCTTTATGACATTTTTCTCATGAGTGGGATTGAGAAAAATGACTTACGGTGAATTCTTACTCATGGAATATGTTTAGGTGCAACTTTACTTTTATTGCCTTTTAGGAAAAAAAAGCTTCAAATAATTAACACTTGATTGCTAATTAATTCTTGGGCAAAAATATTTTTGCTTCCTCTTCCTAGAATTCCCTTCATCCCCACATGTATTCCTATTTGTTTGAACTCCAGCTCAAGTGTCACTTCCTCTCTGAAATGCTCACTGGGGCAGAATTAGATGCATTAGGAGAACCTCAGCAGTTATACAAAATCTTAAAAAAGAAATCTTGTTAGACTCATAGCTGTTATTTTGAAACTATACTTATCCCCAAATTTTTCACTTTCTCAATTATCTCTCAAGTTAGATTCTTTTTGGCTGAACTTTGATGCTTCCAGTGTTCAGGAAGGAGGACTCAGTAACCTAGCAGTTTAGCTCAAGTAGTCTTATATTTTATCATCTTTTCTTTGGTGCAGGGGTTGTCTAAATTTTTCTTTAAAGGTTCTCAAAGTAAATATATATGGGATAGAAAATTTTAACAGAATTACAACTACTAAGCTCTGCTACTATAGCATGAAAGCAGCCAGGAGCAAAGGTAAATGAATGGATGTGGCTGTGTTCCAATAAACTTTATTTTCAAAAATGGGTGGTGGCCCCAAATTTGCTGACTGCTCCCTAATATCTTAGGATATATTAAAACATATATTTTGCCATGATGTGTTTTCAACTTAGGTAGTGATTTCTCTCTCCAATCCCAAGTGAACTATGCCCTGGCAAAATTCGTAGGAAATCTTTGTATGATGATAGCCAAGAATGGCTCTCAGAATCAGTGACATGCTGAGCATGCTCTCAAGTGGCTGCCCTGATTTATCTACTTTTATGACTATAAGCAAATTGGCAGCTGGGAAGCCTTAGAAATGCCTAAAACTTGAGTGGAATTTTCAGAGCCATGCATTTATTGGTAACCAATAAGGTTGTTAGGTAGGTCTTATAATTTAATGCAAAATCCATCACTTGCGATTTGTTGAGGTGCCAAATGGGACTCAGTTTATGCAAATCCTTTCTGATTTATGGTTTCATTAGAGCTGAGTCATTGATTAGACCACAGAAATTCAGGATGGATTTCATTGCTCTGACCCAATTTACTATAGAGCAGGTGCCACTGCTTCTGTTAGTGTTTCTCTGGAATGCATGCCTTTCTTTACCAGTAGATACTGAGAGGTGTCACATCTCACTGAAAATTAAGCTTATACAGGGCTCCCACTGCTAGCAAGCTGGTGGCTTTTCCCAAACCTGACTCAGCTAGGGAAAAGTGAGAGGCATGAGCAAGACTTCGTGGACTTGATCTTAGCCAGAGCCACTGTGAAATTGAGGACTTTCTCCTTCCTGTTTCTTTTTCAACTAGGTAATCTTGCATTTGGAAACAGATGGTTTTGATTGGAGGTATTTTGTGTATGAGAGTTTGCTTTGTGCTCTCTGACAAGTCTACATTTTGACAGGAACATATCTTCAGAATAGATGTGGCCGGGAGGGACTTCCATTGGGAAGTTGGATTAACTAAGCCATTTGGGCCCATGTGTTCTCTTCACTTTCTTCTATACTACTCCTATCTCAAAATTCAGACAATGGAATGAAGGAAGCAATGTTTCCCCACTGAGGTCATTTTCAATACCACCTACCATTATTGCCTCCTCCTTTCCTGTTGACACGTAACAGAGAACAGTCCAGAACATCCTGCCCACTTGTCCACATGCTCAGATCTGTGTGCATCAGGTGGCGAGAAGAGGAAAGGTATGTCAATCTGGGCAGTAGGGTATCTCTTTTTCAAAAGACACATACAGTTTAAATAACGATTAAAAAATATCCAGATGAGCAATGAGCTCAAAATCCTGTTGGCTTGTATTATGGTCTGTATGAAGTTTACTCCATTTCTCTTAATTCCAATTTATTTCCCAAGAGCATCTTTACGTAATTTTGTGAGAAATACTTTTCCCTTCTTGTTGTCCCCCGCCCCCCTTTACCTCTATGTTTGTGTTTTCTGAGTGGACTCTGGAAGGGAAGTGGGCTGGACAATTTCTATTTCAACAAGACTTGGAAAGCCCAGGCATCTCTTCTAAGGAAAATTACTCAGTTTTTCTTATCTTTCCTCTCCCCCCCACCCCCCGCCAACCACAAACAAAACAGAAAGTGGTGAAAAGATGAGAAACACCCAACTTCTATGTGAAGTAATGTTTGTCCTGCAATTGGAAGGCCACAGTATTTGCTTTGTGGATGCATATTGTCCACCGAATAACAAAGAAGCTTCTAGTTGGAAGTCTGATGAGATGAAAAGCGTATTTCAGGGATGAGCACTGTGGTGTGACACAGCTGTACGGCTTCTGCCACCCTGATGCTATTGACTACAGAAACCAAAGTGGCTGTGACCTTTCAATACTTGCACCAAAGGCCCTTCAATTAGCATATTTATCATCTCTCTCTGTCTCACTGTGAGTGTCAGATCATTACTCTAAGGGAAATTATCCCTTGAGAGTATCCTTCCTTAGAAATCTAAGTTGAAAATCTTTTTCATGTCTGCTTGTGGAATTTGAAATTTTCCAAGGTTCATTCTCATTAGGACTCGTATAAGCCACCTCACCTGGGGAAGCTCAGATTGGACATTTGAGGAAACTGCCTAAGAGTGGTTTTTATCCTCAATCTCAGTTGGTTGACAATATGTTATCTGTAAGGACTTCCAACTTTAGAACAGGATAACACAATTTTATAAATTGATTCTCTAAATGTAGGAGAAGGGTAGAGGTGAAAATATCTTCCTGTCATGTAGAATTTGTTTGTTATTTTCATGCCAATGACTTTGAACGATGATAGTCTTCTCTGTTTCGCAGATGAGATGATGTTAAAGCCCATTTCGCTGAGTTTCGACTCCTTTCCCCAAGTTATAACTTATTAGTTTAATTGTGTAATTAATTTTTTTGACTTAGTGATGCGCATTTTCTTATATTATTTTACTGCATTCCTCCCTCCCTTTGAATGCTAAAAATAAAATGTGCAGACTGTAGTTTTACACTGAGTTTTTCTCTTTGTGCAAATTAAACTTAAGACCTTGTGGTAAACAGTGCTCAGTGTCTCAACAGAAGGTGTGTACAGATTAGGGGCTCAGACACCTTGCCTCTCCAAATCTTGAGTCATGCCAAATGCAATAACTAATTCCCCCTCTCATTAGAGAAAAATGAAGGTTAGCAGTTGAATAGGTAACTAAATCCACTGGGTTGTAGGTGCAGCCAAAATGACCTTAGGAAAAGGATATACAACCGTTTGGCAAGACATATGCAAAAGGAATAAAGATGATAGACTCTAGCAGGGGAGGCCACCTTGGGGCTCAAGGTCTCAGTTATCAGCAGTGTCACCCAGAACAGTGCTAATCACGGCTGCAGCCTTCCTCTGATGCCTCAGAATGGTTTTTATTGACAGCACAAAATTTGTTTACCCTTTTCATCATCTTGAGGTAATCCTCCTAGCAGAAGCCTGCTGGCTTGAAGTGTGAGACCATTGTGGGTGTGGGAGGGGTGCACATTGAAGTGACATCTATTCTCCTTCCTGGAAATAAATAATAAAGGCCTGAATGTAAACCCAGCAGAAAAAAAGATTACTCATGAATTTCTGTTGCTTTCTGTTAAAGGCTGAAGGAAAAAAAATAAATAAAAAGTCGACATTCTTGACCATGTATTCACATGCCCGCTCCAGGAAAACACAGCAATCATTTGACTCATCCCCAAATTCTTGACACTCTCCTCAGGGTTTTATTTCCCTCATAATCTGCTCTAATTGTATCTTCAGTGTTGCCAATGACTTTGGAGGGTTTTGCTGCATGTTAATGTCTTCCAGTGTTGGGGGAAAAGTTCTTCCCAACATCTGTTCCAAATGTGTTTATCTGTAATTTTAATTCATGCTCACTTGCCTTGTCATCTGGCCTGGGCTGAAATTAGTTGAGATTATTTGTCCTATTTAAGATTTTATGCTCTTCCATTAAATCCTCCCAACGAGTCTTGGCATGGCATCACATGATTTCCTCCCAGTCTTCCTTGTTGTTTTAGGTGAATTCAGAATGAAATGGTTTGAGAGAGAGGATTCCAGGATATTTGAATTGAAAGGAGACCTGGAGAGGTACTTGGTGAGAATATAAACTAAGAGGCACAGAATGAGAATATAAGCTCATGGTGCAAATAGAGGAACTGGCAGTCGGTAGATGGGCCAGGTGCTCTGCATAGTGATACATGACACCCTAGTGACCATGAACTAATATAATCTAGGAAGACAGGGCTGAGGCTAGGAGCAGAGGGCATTTCTAGTACAGTGTCAGGGAGTTCATGAATTCAGTGGCCCTGAAAGTGCTCCAATGATTGAGGGTCTAGAAGTCCCCAGAATGAGGCAGATTGTTCCAGAGAGACCTGAAACTAAGGTTAGACAACCTTGGAAAAAATACCCTTAAATGTTGACTACTATGGAAGAAACCAATTGCATTCTAAAGTGGAAAGGACTGATCTCATCCTTCAGGGCTCAGGTTTCTCCTTTGCATGTGTTTTGGTTTGGAGTTGAGTAGGGATCCAGATCTCATAAAGGATCTCCCAGCCACATCCTTCCTGATCCATCTGTGG